CAAGGAAAAGGCTCTTCCACATAGTGGCAGAGGAGAAAAATCAATGGAAATTGATGGAGAAATGTAAAGCAGCTGTCTGCTGTGTGTGTGTGCGTGTGTGTGTGTGTGTCTGTGTGTGTTTGTGTTCATGTGTGTATGTGTGTTCCTGTGTGTGTGTATATGTGTGTGTGTGTGTTCCTGTGAGTGTGTGTATGTGTGTGTATGCTGGCAGTGTGTATGTTCTGCAGTGGGCACAGTGTGTGTGTGTGTGTGTGTATGCTGGCAGTGTGTATGTTCTGCAGTGGGCACAGCCTCAGCAGAAACACACTCCCTGGACAGGGCTGACCTGCTGGGGGGCGCTGAGGCCCAGACGGTGGGGGCTGGGAGTCAATCTCTGGCACGTGCCTGTGTAAGGGCGCTGGTGGCTGGGGGAGGGGCGGCAGCAGAGTCTCTAACTCGAGTTAGAGAGAGATTAATATATTCAATCCGCTCCAGGGTAATTGAGGGAACAATTGGAGTGTTTTTCTAAAGCCCATAAAACTGCCTCATTTGCAAGGAGGAGCTGACCGGCCTCCAGCCCTCTACGTTTGGTGAAGCGCAGCAGAGGAGGAGGGGGAAGCTGGGGTCCCAGTGCCCAAGGGGGACGACCTCAGTCTGGGAGAGGGCTGGCAGTCCTGATCTAACCTGTTCTCACCTTCTAACCTGTTCTCACCTTCCCCGCCTCCCACCACTTTGTTGCTAGCAGCCCAAGCTTCGCCTTCTAGAGCCTCTCTTTGCCCACCTGTGAGATGGCCCAGTGACAATTCCTCTCCCCAGGAGGGCAGAGGGAGAGGCAGAAGGGGGAGCTGCACAAGACGAGGGAAGCCAGCTAACCCCAGGGTCCGGCACTGAGCGGACGGGGCATGCACGAAGAGGTGCCCAGTACCCCAGCCAGGCGGCCCCCACTCACGCCCCTGCGCCGCACCCCTGGGATTGAACGGGCAGTGAAGAGTAAAGTTAATGAAATCCACATCGTGCGTCTCTCCCTGCTTGAACCATTCCGGTCTCCGGGGCAATAGAAATAGTGTACGCAATCGCGAGCAATAAAAGGCATAATGAATTTAAAAGCAGGGCACCGGGCGGGGGATGTCGGGGAAAGCGAAGACAGAGTGCCTGGGCCTTGAAGGCAAGAGGATGCCTGGGGCTGGGAGAGCACCCGCCTGGAGCTCCAACCGGAATTGGGACCAGAGACACACAGGCGGAGGGGGGCAGGGTAGGAGGGGGCGGGGTGGCAGAGGGGACGCTGGGCAAGCCGTTCACAACAGCTCCATGGCTGCTCTCCTTTCCCCTCTTCTCCTTAATGAAAGCCCCCCAGCCAGTGGTGCCAAATTCACAATCAGAATCCACAGGCTTAGAGCCAGGTGCTCGGCATTTGGTGATTGCTTTATTAGCTTTTCTTCTCCTTTCTCCCCTCCAGGGGGGAAAAAAACGTGTTTTAAAGGGAAGGAATTTTTTTAAAAAAAACCTTGAAAGCGTCATTTAAAAGGCTCCTGGGAAACGAAATCGTTTCTATGAAACAAAACTGCGATTGTTGGGGAGAGGTAAATGCAGGGGGAGGGAGCCCACCGCAGCCCTCCCCCTCCTCCCAGAGCTCAGAGCTGGGTAGGAGAGAGCTACAGGCCGTCTAGTGAGGAAGCCCGCAGGATGGTTCCCAGAGCTACAAGCAAGGGACCTTAAAATTCGCGTTTCCAGAAATTTCACCCCTGGGAATTTCCAAAGTTTCCCTCTTGAACAGCTCTGCCTGTGGGAAGTTGTCAGTCGACTTTCAGGGATCTCTTGGAGCGGGTAGTGAGGTACCAGGAGGGTGGTGGCTCCTGAGAGCCCTACTCCAGGCCCACAGCTGTGTGGTCACCCTGCCCTCCCTAGTCCCGCCAAGAGGCATCACTTTCCCCTAAAAATGTCCAGCCGAGTCACACCTGATGGCTTTTCTGCCGGCTTTGGGCAAGACCTTCCTGCTTTCCTCACCCCAGGGTGCTCTGCCCAGCACCAAACAGGCCACCCTCATTCTGGTCTGATAAACTCCCCCTTACCCAGGGGAAGGAGAGGCTCAGGGAGCTCAAAGCTGCCAAGAAGTGACAGGAGGCAGCATGGGGAGGGGGGTGATAAGTCTAGTAGACCTTTACCCAGAAAGGAAGCACCATGCATGTCCGTCTCCAGAGGGCTGCTGCTCTGGCAGGAACCTGGAGCCAGTTACCCCTCCAGGTGGGTAAACTCCCTCTGCAGCTCCTGCCTGCAAGCTCCCAGCACCCCCGTTCTTGGGTCAAGGGCTCAGGGAGTGACCTCTATCTTGGAGCCTGTGACTGTGCTGCTGGAAATATTCGTGGAGTATATACTCCCTCCTGCCAGCAGCTCCCCACCCACCCAGAGGAGGAAGCCTGGGGACTGCAGAAGGAAACATGTTCACTGTCTGTAATTTTATTGCTCAGGGGAATTGATTGTTTTAGTGTCCAAGTCTCCAGGACTAGGGAATGCTGTGACCAGCATTGGCATGGCCATTTAGGGCTGTGTGACCCGTGGGCCGTGGCTGAGAAGCGAAGTGATGCTGACTCAAAGCCAGTAGTGGAAGTCTGCACGGAGCCCTGACCCTGGTCTCACTCTGAGCCTTGCCTTCTGCTCCCTCCTCATTCCAGATCATCTTGATCATTGCATTCCTACGCTCCCTGCTCTCCAGCCCCTGCTCCACTGCCCCACTGTGACCATCATCAGTGACCATCAGAGGAAAAAACAGTGACACACGCTATACAAACTGGAGAACAGCTTGTGAGCCGACGACCAAATTCTGAATGAAAGAGATTCGATTGTTAAAATGTCTGATAAGAGGACTGAGAATAACTTGGGAGGGTTAAAAACCAAAGCTGGGAAGGCTTCCTGGAAGAGGTAACCTTGAGCCTAGACATTTGCATCTGGAGCCAGAAATCCATCCCTAGCTTTGATGTGAATATTGCTCGCTGACAGCCTGGTCTTGCTGCTGTCCATCCAGCTGTGCCTTTGAGCCTCCACGTAGCACCACCAGAAAGGTGCCTGACTTCCTTAGCCTGAACCGCTGGAGAGAGTCCTCCGGAGCTGAAATAGCCCCCACATTCTCTGAAGGACCCGTCTCCATTGTCTGCTTCCTCCTGCTTCCTGGCCCTGTCGCCAGGGTTATGATTGCCGACTCTCTCCCCCCTCCCCCAGGGAAGCGATTTTCCTCTCCCTTAAAAGCCATTTTCTTGTCTTGGTAGAAGCAGACATCTGACACTTTAAGAGGGAGCATGGTGGGGAGATGATGGCTTTAAATAACAGGAATTAGAGCTGCCGAGTTCGACTCAACCATCTCGCCAGTCTCCGTTCCCCTCCCTCGCAACGCATTCAGAACTGCAGCCTGAGGAGCACCGTCCACGTGGCCTGTGGCTCGGGTGGCCAGGGCATCCTGGGACCTGGAGAGCAGGAGACAGCTTCTCCTGAGTGCACAGCTCCTGTCTAGTCCTGTGATAAACCGTAGGACACCAGGCTCTGAAGTCAGGGAGCTTGCAGTCTAAGGGAACAGAATGTCACCTAGGAATGCAGGTGACATGCATCTCATTTTACAAGCTCAGCATCCAGCACAGAGCTGGGCGTGCAGGAAGTGGTCAAAAGTATGTGTTGATTGACTGATGGATGAATTAATGGACGGAGGCCACAGTGGGCCGTGTCAACAGGCTGAGTGACTGGGAAAGAGAAGCTGACCCCTGGTCATCCTTATAGTTATCCTGGTACACGCTGCCCTATCGCTTGGCCTACACCATAGCTCAGATCTGGCCTTTCTCCAGCACAAACCCCTCTGGTGTTCCCCACCACTTCCTGAAATGAACACCCACCTCTGCTCTTCTGCTCTGGTGCCCTCGACCCCATCCACTTTCTCCCATCCCCAGGGAGAAAGGCTCCACAGGTGGGCCAGGTGCCTCTGCGTGTCAGCTGCAGGCTCCAACCTCAGCTCATCCTCTGCTGCCAGCCGAACCTCCCCCTTTTCCTTACCCAGTGCACTGTGGTCCCTCCTCCTGGAACACCCTCCCCAGAGCCCAGGATTGCTGTCCCTAAATCTTATCCTCGTAGCATGCAGTCGGCAGAGTTGGCATTTAACAAATGTTTGATGGATGAATCAATGAATTAAAGGGTGAATGAATGAATGAATGAATGGGAAGATTCACCTCAAATGACCCCTCTTCCAAGAAGCCATTCCTAGGCACCAAAATCCGACATGCACACTCCCTCACCAGACCTCTCCTGCCAGCCTTGCCCTACAGGACCATGGATGATGCCCTCACTATACCCAAGTGTCTTCAAGCCAGGCGACTCCCTGAGCTTAGGGGCTGATCAGTTTTGCGTCCTGTGCACTATTATGCACTGAGGTCTCCAGGAAATGCTGACATTAAATGGAGTCAAGCGTACCTTGGGACTGTTTCTCCACCTGTCAAGTGGGCAACTACTCGCTCTACCAGCTGTTATCTGCGCTGGCCGTGAGGCCTATTAGACATGCTCTCTGGTCACAGAGCATGGCCACAGGGGAGAAGCCTCCTATATTTCGGATAAGGACTAGACTCTCTCACCTGGGTCCTGGGTTGGGCCCGAGCCCCTCCTGGGCAGGGTGGATGCTGGATGGGCTTGAGGATGGGCACACAGAGGAGACTTGTGTTCCCTGGTCACTTGGGGCCTTCCGCAAAATCTGGTGAGAACAAGGTTGGGAACTGAAGGGCCTCAGGGACCACTAACCCCCAGGGCAAAAGAAACCCCACTTAGCTGGCAACCTGATTTGCGGGGCCTTTGCCCGTTTTCTGTCTGTCCCTTCAAACTGGGACTCCTGTGTCCATTCGCAGACTGCATGTTCCCCAGACTGAATGTGGCAGCCTTGCGAGCTCCTCTGCTGCTCTGCTCAGCTCGGGACAGGGGCCAGCCTGGCTTATCAGAGAGGCTGAGTCTTGTGCCCAGTGAGCCCAAATCTGAACTAGGACACGGGAAGCACCCACCTGCAGCCTGGGGAGCCGTGGCTCTGGGCGTGGCGACATCAGTTCTGGCTGGCCAGCCTCCGGAGGGCTGTCCGAGATTGGGGGCTGAGAGTCCCGGTGCGCGTGGAAGGCCACCCTGTAGGCCAGGCCCCCACAGTGGCGGGCTGCGGGGTCCGCACTGGCCCGGAGCAGAGCCAGGTTGCCACAGTAGTGGTACAGGTCCTCATGGTCCCGAGCCTCCGGGTTCATGCGGGGTTGGTCCGGCCTCGGGTAGATAGGGAAGATGGCCTCACCCACCCGCTGGGTCGTCCGTCCTGGGGGTTCGTCCAGCCTCAGTGCCTCCACACGCAGCTGAGCGTCATGCTGCCCGTCATTTTTGCAGAAACCTGGATGAGGGGACACGGGGCTCAGAGATGGTCTCAGGTTTCTCTGCATCTGCTGGGGGACTAGGAGGACAGGCAGGGCCCTGGGGAAACCTGGGCTGCCCAGCCTTTGAGTGGAAGCCAAGCAGTCTTGGCTAAGATTTCCCTGGTGGGCAACTCCCTCCTAGGCCCCCAGCAGATGCAGAAAAACCCTCCCTGGGGTCCCTCCCTTTGCTGATACCCAATCCAAGCCCACCCAGCCGGGGTGAGGAAGGGAGGGCTTAGCCTGTGGGATGATCCCGGGTCCTGCCACCACCCGAGACTCCTAGACTGGGGAAGAGTTCAGCCTGCCCCTGATTCATGGCCACTTAAAGTCTGCAACCTGGTTTTCCCATTCCCCAACATCCCTCCTCCTCCAGGCAGCCTGCTGGGGTGGCCTCACAGTCTAGGTATAGATCTCCTTCTCATTCCAGCTCACTTTACTTTTCTCTGCTTGGAGTTCCTGCCCCTTCCCCTGCTCTGGAAGTTCCGGAAGGCAGGGCCCAGGCGTCCTGGGCCCTGGGTCTGCTTATTTCTGTCCACCCTACCATACCCACAATCAAGTGGGGCTCAGGGCCAGGCACTCAGGGGGCTGAGTCTAACATTACTCAGTGTGATGTCCACTGCCGAGGACTGGCCCCCAAACCCACTGTGTGATCAGCACTCTTACATTTACAAAGCCATCTCTCATCCGCGCTTCTATTTCCTTCTCACCTGACCTCGCGTGACGGGCATCAGTGTCCCCATGCCACACCGAAGGAGGCAGGGGTCACAGAGGCCCAGAATTTGCCCGAAGTCACACCAGCAGAGCTTTGGGATGCAGTCTGGAGCCCCACCCCTCCCAGTTCTCCTGAGGCTCTCTGGGGTCCCAGAGTGGGGCTGAGGCAGGGGTTCCAGGGTCTTTCTCTCCCCTAAGCCCCACCCCCACTTCATACCTTTGGGCAAAGTAAAGATAAACTTGTTCCTGGTGAGGGCGACGCTCTGGCCAGGTTCCTGCTGCTCAATGACATCAGTGACAACAGAGCAGGCATAGAGGGGATCCCCATCATTCACCTGCAACTGCACCCCAGCCCCAGAGCCTGCCTGCAGGGGGTTCTCAGCTGACAGTCTCAGGGCATATCTACCCCCCTCATTAAACCCCACACTCAAAACTTCGAACTCTAGATCCAGGGTCTTCTCCTCCACCTTCAGTCTCTGGCTCAGCAGGGATGCTGAGACCCAGGGTTCTGGCCCCCTGAATGCCATGGCTATGGGGAGATCGACTGCCAGGCTGAGCACTGCGCTCTCTCACCCACAGCCCAGCCTCAACCCAGTCTGAAAGCCTGTGGGCTGGGTGCTCAGGGCCACTCCCCACCCACCTCTGTTTGTTTGAGGAGAAACCAGGTAACAAGGCAGGAAGCTGGGCCTGACCCAGGAAACTTTACTTCCATCAATCCCTTCCCTTTAGTATTTGTTCCTTCAGTACATATTTCTTGAGCACCTACTGCTTGCCAGACACTATTTTAGGCATTTGGAATCCAGCAGTGAACCAAACAGTAACTCCAGCCCTCTGAAGTTTATCTTCTAGTGGGAGAGGTGGGTAGAGACAGACAAAAATAAACACTAAACATAGAACATAAGAAAATAATGTATGCTAGAAGATGCTAATTGTTTTGTTTTGTTTTGTTTTGTTTTGTTTTGGAGGTGGAGTTTTGCTTTTGTCTTACAGGCAGGCTGGAGCGCAATGGCAGTGATCTCGGCTCACTGCAAATTCTACCTCCTGGTCCCAGTGATTCCTGCCTCAGCCTCCTGAGTAGCTGGGATTACAGGCATTAGCCGCCATGCCTGGTTAATTTTTTTGGTATTTTTAGTAGAGACAGGGTTTTGCCATGTTGGCCAGGCTAGTCTCGAACGCCGGACCTCAGGCGAGCTGCCCACCTCAGCCTTGAAAAGTGCTGGAATTACAGGTGCTGGCTACTACGCCTGGCCAAAAGATGCTAAATTCTATGGAAAAACTGAAAGCAGGTCAAGGATGAAGATTCTGGTATGGGGAGCACATGGGTATGTGATATCCAGAACTTCTCATTCTGGGAAAGCCTGTCTCTATATGCCTATTCATTCTCATTGACTTGGGGTGCGGGGGAGTCTCAAGGGAAGGGAGTCCGTATCTATTTTCAGGGAGCAAGCCCTTGGTTTACTTTCTTCTTCTTCCTTCTTTTTCTTCTTCTTCTTCTTCTTTTTTTTTTTTTTTGCAGAGTCTTGCTCTGTCACCCAGGCTGGAGGGCAGTGGCAGGATCTCAGCTTACTGCAACCTCTGCCTCCCAGGTTCAAGCCATTCTGCATCAGCCTCCCAAGTAGCTGAGACTGCAGGTGTGCGCCACCACACCCAGCCAATTTTTGTATTTTTAGTAGAGACAGGATTTCACTATGTTGGCCAGGATGGTCCCTAACTCCTGACTTCAAGTGATCCACCCACTTTGGTCTCCCAAAGTGCTGGGATTACAGGCATGAGCCTCCACACCCGGCCGTGTTTACCTTTTTAATTAAGACTTATAATGGGAGGCACAGCTTTACTTTGCAGACAGCCCAGACCCTCTTATACCAAAGAGTTGTCAAGCCGGAATCCATTTTTCCTGACCCTGGGTCTTGGTGTTATCCAATGGGAGATGAGAGATTCAGGACTCCCCTCGTTAAGAACTATCTTACCATCACCACCACTACCATCACCACCATCACCACTACCACTACTGCCACCACAACCACCACCATCACCATCATCACCATCACCACAGTCACCACCACCATCACCGTCATCATCACAGTCACCACCACCATCACCATCACCAGTCACCACCACCATCACCATCACCACCACAGTCACCACGACCATCATCATCATCACCACAGTCACCACCACCATCACCGTCATCATCACAGTCACCACCACCATCACCACCATCACAGTCACCACCACCGTCACCACCATCACCACAGTCACCACCACCATCACCGTCATTATCACAGTCACCACCACCATCACCATCATCATCACAGTCACCACCACCATCACCATCATCATCACAGTCACCACCACCATCACCATCATCACCATCACCACAGTCACCACCACCATCACCATCATCATCATCACAGTCACCACCACCATCACCATCATCACCATCACCAGTCACCACCACCACCACCATCATCACCACAGTCACCACCATCACCATTATCGCCATCACCACAGTCACCACCACCATCACCATCACCATAGTCACCACCACCGTCACTGTCATCACCATCATCACCACAGTCACCACCACCATCACCATCACCACAGTCACCACCACCGTCACTGTCATCACCACAGTCAGCACCACCATCACTGTCATCACCATCACTGCAGTCACCACCACCATCACCATCATCACCACAGTCAGCACCACCATCACTGTCATCACCATCACTGCAGTCACCACCACCATCACCATCATCACCACAGTCAGCACCACCATCACTGTCATCACCATCACTGCAGTCACCACCATCATTATCATCACCACCACAGTCACCACTACCACCACCATCACCACTGTCACCACCACCATCACCATCACCACAGTCACCACCATCATCACCATCATCACCAGTCACCACCACCACCACCGTCACCACCAGCACCATAGTCACCACCACCATCACAGTCATCACCATCATCACCACCACCATCATCACAGTCACCATCACCACCATCACCTTCACCACTACCAGCAGCAGCAGCAGCAGCAGCATCACCAACATCACCATTACTACCTCTATCACCGTCATCATTATCCAGTATCATTATCATCAGCCTCATTATTAATGGCACTGTTCGTTGAGCAGCCACTGGATATCAGGCACTCTCCATGGCTCTGTGAGGAGATGTAATTATTACAGATGAAGAATCCAAGACTGAGAGAACGTCAGCAAAGTCACCCAAGATCACATGGTTAGTGAGTAAATGTTGAGATCTGAACCTCAGAATTCTATCCACACTTTCCCCTCGTAAACATGTCCTGGGACTGGCTCAGAGATTAAATGCATTATATTAGGGAACTAGGGAGTTCTGTACCCTAAAACTGTAGTACAGTTCTGAGTCTACAGAGAGCATTTATAGACAGCGTAGGTTTCATTCAAAAAAGCTCACTTGAAGTTACATTGAATGGAATGCATCATTTTCGTAAAATAAAAGATACCAGGTCTGAAAGTGGTATTAGCCAGCCCAGCTTCAGGTCCCAATGTATATAGCAGGCTTCCTCTGCAATGATTAAAATTCAGTTTCTTGCCGGGCGCGGTGGCTCAAGCCTGTAATCCCAGCACTTTGGGAGGCCGAGGCGGGTGGATCACGAGGTCGAGAGATCGAGACCATCCCGGTCAACATAGTGAAACCCCGTCTCTACTAAAAATACAAAAAAAAAAAAAAAAAAAAAATTAGCTGGGCATAGTGGCACGTGCCTGTAATCCCAGCTACTCGGGAGGCTGAGGCAGGAGAATTGCCTGAACCCAGGAGGCGGAGGTTGCGATGAGCCGAGATCGCGCCATTGCACTCCAGCCTGGGTAACAAGAGCGAAACTCTGTCTCAAAAAAAAAAAAAAAAAAAAAAAAAATTCAGTTTCTTCAGCTCCCCCAAGGAGAAGCTGAGGCAAAGAGTTCTAGCCACCTGCCTTGTAAGTGAAACTCAGCAAATCCCTTCGGTTTGGGTGTCAGTGTGCCCGTGTGTGTGATTAGGGTAGTGGGGCGGATAAGTCACCTCCCAGCTATCATAGTCTGCAACTCTGTCATTCATGTTAGGAAAGACCACAGTATGGCCATTTTGAGGAGAGGATGGGTGGCAGAGGCCACCTGGAAACCTTTGCCTCAGTGGCTGGTTATGGCCAACTGGCGTGGGTCTGGAGGCGGTGGTTTGCTTCTGCCAGGTCTGAGGTCTTGGAGCTTAATGACTCAGTAAAAGCAGCTCGCTTCCCTGACATATTTGAAGCAATGATACAAGATAGGAGTCCAGTTGCTTCTGCCCTAGGGCCAGCCTTGATGCACGCATCCCAGCCCCATCCCCCGCAAGTAGGGTCTATGCTCAGAATCACGTCTTCCTGGTCTGTGTATCCCGAGTCCCTTCAATACTTCCCTCACACCCCTCTTCCTCCCTTCTTTCCCTCCCTCTGACTTTCTACAAAGAATCCGAGGTGGCTCTGTTGGCCTTCGCAAGCTTTTAGTATCCTCCACCACCTAATGTCCCCACCCACTCCTATTTCTTGCGTCCCTTCCCCCATTCTCTCCTGGGAAGGCTTACTTTTTTTGGTGTGTGTGCCTGGTTACTTTTTAAAAAAAAATTGTAGTCAAATACACATAACATAAAATTTACCATCCAAACCACTCTGAAATGTGAAGCTCCGTGGTGTTAAATACATTTACATTGTTGTGCAAACAATCTCCAGGATGCTTTTCATCTTGCAAAACTGAAACTCTACACCGATTAAACAACAACTTCCTCTTCCACCTTCCCCCAGCTCCTGGCAACCACCACTCGACTTTCCGTCTCTGTGAATTTGACTACTCTTCAGGGCTTCACAGAACTGGAACCCTAGAGTATCTGTCTTTTCACAAGTGGCTTAGTTCACTTAACATACCGTCCTGGGGAAGGTTCCCGGGCCAGGTCTGTCCTTTCTCACCTCCGTACCCTTGCTGGTTTGATTTCCTCCGCCCAGACTGTCCGGCTCCTCCCCACGCTGCCCTGCTCATCCTGCAGACTGGCTAAAAGCTTCTTCCCCCGCAACCCGGGCTCATGACTCCTTCCTCCACCCCATTTTGTATTTTCCTCTCCCGTCTCAAATGATGACTTGCCCAAACAGGTATCCTTCGTTGCCCTTAAGGTTGTTTCGGGAATCACGTTTGTGTGCCCAGGCTGGGCAAGGGATAGGTGCCTGGGAAATGGTTAAAGCATGATGGATGGATGGATGGATGGATGGATGGATGGATGGATGGATGAATGGATGAATGGATGGATGGATGAATGGATGGATGGATGGATGGATGGATGGAGGGAGGGATGGAGGGAGGGAGAAATCCAACCCAGCTTCTACTTATGCAGAAAGGAGTAAGAAAGAATTCTTTTGGCTATTTCATCTGGATTCCATCTGTGATAAGCAAAGACCATTTTGGGCTCTTGAGTCAAACTTGGACTCAGAGATGCATCCTGGTGCTTCAGTGGGCAAGCAGGTGGTGAGGAGGGAAGGCAGCAGTGCTGGAGGGCAGGAGGCAGCAA